AGTGAGAGAATCTATCTATCCTCACACATAATCACCCACACTGAGAATTAATATTTAAAAGACCAGTTTGGTGGACCAAAAAGAGAGAGAGAGAGAGAGAGAGAGAGAGAGAGAAAAAGAGAGAGAGAAAATTATTTTAATTTGCATGTCTCTGGTTAGTTCTGAGGTTCAGCAACTCTGTTTATTTGCCTTTCATATTTCTTCAGTGACTTGCCAGTGAGAGTCTGTGGCAGACTTTTTCCATGTGATGTTAATGTTTTCCTATTGATTTATGACTGCTTTTAGTATAATAGGGATGGATTGGCAGGCAGACAGCGTTATGTCCTGACTTGCCAATTCTGGTGATGGTGTTTGACACACAAGGGACACTAATGGATTTGTGGTCAATTGTATCAGTCTTTCTTTCCCCGTATTATAACTTCCACTGCAAATAGAGTGTCAAGGTCCTTCAGCCTGGGATCCAACCCCAGCTTCCCCACTTGCTAACCAGGTGATCCTCTCTTTGCCTCGATTTCCTCATTTGAAAATGAAGGATAATTGAGTGTATTCTCATATACATAAGATTAGTAATTGGCAGACAGCCTCCCAGCTGGCCCCCAATAACCCCGTCTCCTGGTGTCCACATGTATCCCCCTCAGGGGGCCAGCAAGGACTAGGGACCTGTCCACAGCCATGGAGTGAGCTTAGAATACAGTCCTCCCCTACTGACACCTTTACTTCAGCCTTGCAAGACCCTGACCAGGGGACCCACACAGGCTATGCCCAGATTCCTAGCTCATGGAAACTGTGAAGTAAGAGCCTTTGCTATTTTAAGCTGCTAAGTTTAAGGTTGATTTGTTATGCAGCAGGAGATAACTAATGCAAGATATATGTAAAGTACTTCAAATAGTGCCTATGGCAGATTGCAAAAAATAGTCGAATATGTTGCCACTCTCCCCATGAAAGGATGGAATCCTTTTTCATGTCCTGACTGTACTTGATTGTGTGACTTAATTTGACCAAGAGAGCAGAGGCAAACGCAATGCAGAAATCTGAAAGGCACCTGCTTGCTACTTACTCTTGGAGCCGTGTTGCCACCATTTGAAGAAGCCCAGTCTGCTGGAGCCTGCTGTACCTGCTTTCCTTGTCGCACTCTGTGCATAATAGCTGGCCACTACAGATGTGTGAGGCCATCAACTGCAGACTCATATATGAGCCCAGCTAAAAAAACCACCAGCCATACCCAACCTAAATTTCCAACACAACTCCTCAGCAAAATAAGTTGGTGTTGGGAAGTTCTGGGGTGTTTTGTCACACAGCCTGTGATAACAGACACAGCTGCCATTCTTATTACTACTGTCACCATCATCTGGGGATCAGTTAAATGGTCACACATATTTCCTAACACTGCATTTATGTTTTTACTTTTTACATTGAACCAATCTACTGAAAACTTATTTTGGTATATGATATTAGGTGAAGATCTAACTTAACATTTTGCCACATGGCCAATTTCCCCTTCTTCATAAAACTGTAATATCTTGTTTTTGTATATTAGAATCTAATGTGTGTCACTGATCACTTCTATTAGTATATTAGCAAGTCTTGAACCAACACCATAGCTGTTTTGTTTTAATTTGGGCCAGGATCTTATATGTTCTTCTACTGGGACATGCCAAGAGAAATATGCACTAATCTGACTGCATGGAGGAAGCAGTGAGGTTTCTCAGAAAGGTGCCAGAGAAGAGGGAAGAATGACAATAGCAATCTAGGACAAGCAGGTAGAAGAGGCAGAGAGAGTTACTGTTACCAAAAGGATGGTTCCAAGGCCAATTTTCCTCTGTAATTGAAACTAAACCTGTCCCAAGTCTTGAAGTCAGTCAGTGATAGAATTTCACAAGCTCTTTCTGAGTGTAGTACTAGGCACTGAGAAGGGATGGGCAGAGTATAAACAGAGATTATTCGTGCCAGCTCTCTAAGTGTTCACAGCCTCAGTGGAGAGACAATCTCACGTACAAAATCTCTGCAAATCACATATACAAATCCACATATTTGTTATGTACGGATCCACAGTAATCCATCAGTTTACAAGCTGATAAAATATACAGAACATATAATGGCGAAGGGGAGCTTAGAAGCTCCTGTGGGCAATCACGGAAGACTTCCTGGAGGAAGTCAGAATTTGAGGAATAAGATTTAACAAAGAGAGGGTGTGTGTAAAGGCAGGAAACAGGAATAACTAACTCATGTACAGTAAGCAGATTTACTTGGTAAACATAGAAAGGCCAAATAGGTACACTAAGAGGTAAGTTTGATGAAGGAGTAAGGATTGATCTGATGAAGAATCCCTCAGTGCTAGGTCATCAAAGAAAATGAGCAAACAATATTTTCTTAGGTAAGGAGAGTAAGAGACCACAGACCAAGGACGAATCACTCTGCTCTTGAAACAGTTTTGTAACATCCCTGGCATGCAGGAGCTGCTCCAAGACCTGCCTATCCCAAGAACTCAGTAAATGGCAGGAGGAGCATGATTCCCAAGGACAAGGCGATGTCAAAAGCAGGACAATTCCTAGCAGAGGATGTCCAGGTGGCCAACCAGACTCCAGCTCTCTCACACATCCATCAAGATGTTCCTGCCCCCTCATTAATTGGTAAAGAGCAGGCATGAGTACACTAAGAAAATTATTTCTTTATTTTTAAATTATACTGAATATCAGTTTTGATCCTAAAAGTTTAGAAATGAAAATCTAAGAATGAACAGAGCCCTGAGCTATAGGACCTGCTCATGGCCCTGAGGTCAGCAAGGGCACAAACCATTCCCTGGTCACTGGCAGACATCACACAATGGGAAGCAGTGGGTACTCAAGGCAGAGGCTCAGCAGAGATCAGAGGGAGTCCACAGCCTTGACTTGTACCCGTCCTGCTGGTGCTGACACCTGCTGTCAGGGCCCAGTTTGACTGCCATGTGCCTCACTGCAGAAACTCCTATATACAACCCCAAACTCTGGGTAATGATGTTGCAGCCAGGTCATAACCTGTCACCTGTAACCTGCAGAAGAGGGTGTTGGGTCTCAGCCCCAAAGCCCAGGCCTGAGCCAGGAGTGGGGAGTCTTGGGCACCGTGGAGAAGGAAAGCAATCAGGAGCCCACCTGATCTCCCCTTCCCAACCTCGTATGTGTCCCACTTACAAGGAGTGGTGCACTTGAGATGAGCCAAAGTCATGGTCATGCCTCCTCTGGATGCCGAGTCTGTCCAACTTCCCCCAGTACCATTATGTTTAAACAACCAAAGCTAGAAATACATTTTACCTATACATAAAAAGGGGAAATTCTCTACTCAGAGTAACAAACTGTTTAATGCAATTTTTTTTTCTGGGTCACACTCTTGTTCACTTTCAGAGGAATATCTCTCCTCCAATTGTTCAGGAAAACATCCCCTTTCTTTTAAGCAGTAATACTTTCTTTTTCAGAGACCCAATAGTGCTTTTCCTCAGGTTGCTCTTCCTCAAATGAAGAAGACTGATCCAGACCCTGAGTCTGCTAATAGATGAACTATGTAGATTTCCAAAGGTGTCTGATACTTATTCTCACATTTTCTCAGGTGCAGAGCTAGTGGGGCCAGTCCCAAAACTACAGGAACTGCCCAGAATGAGGCAGCGTTCTCTCCAACCAGCTGCCATCCATAGCTGGGATGATTCTACACCCACTCCCTTTCTCTCTGATATTGTCAATCAACGGGGCTCTCAAGAAACTATGATTTCCCCTCCTGCACTACCATGGGACTCAGTCAATCTCTCCATGTTTTCCCATCCAAAAGTACCAGCCCTTGTCCTTCTGGTCAATCCAGTCATTTTCTAAGAATATAGTCTCAGAACAGACTAGAAAGTTGGGGTGGAAAGGAACAGGAAACCCAGTTCATGGGCTCTGGTGGGGTGGAATCCCTATACAATTGTTAGTATGACATTCTTCGGGGGAGGACAGTGGGTCTCATCGTTTTCCCTGAGGCCAGGTACTCTGATCTAGTAGGTGAAGGGAGTTGGGACAATTCCATGAGATTTATAAAGTATCTTTCACTGTTACTGTAAGAGAGCCTCATATCTTGAAGTTTTTTATGTACACTATTTTAATCAAACTAGAAATCATCCACTAGGTTATGTGAGGAATATCATGAAGAGAAAGGAGTTATCATTCCTAACCCCTAAGAGACTGGAATGCAGACTTGGGAAAGGCCAGGAGGTAGCAAAGCCAGGTGTTCCATGGTGACAGCTTTCTCCAATGAGTCCCCCATGCATCAAAGCCCTTGGACCAGGAAGCCCACTAGCCCCCAGCTCATGCTCTGTGCTAGGGAATCCGACCTGTATGTAGTGACTCTTCCATCAGCATTAGTCATAATTCATTACTTGACTGGGTAAGTCAGTTCCCTCTGTTAGTATAAATGCCATTACCTACAGCTATGCTAATATGCCCATACTTCATTAAAGGCTGTAAAGTGATCTACTTTCTAATCTTAAGTATAAACACCTAAAGACATTTTCAGAGTAAAAGTTTAATTCCAAAAAGATGAAACAATCCATGGGTCAGTTGCAATTCTTAAATTTCATGTTGAACTAGGCTCAAGTCATAACATATTTGAGAAATTTAGCAATCACAAAAAGATTATTAGGATTCTTCTAAGCTAACAATTGAGATACAGAAAAACTAAAGACTGGCTGACACCACCAATCCAGGTCACTGTCCCTCTTTTCCAATTAATACGCAGTTGGTGGTGAATAAAACTTAGAAGTCAGTCTTCTATGAGCTCTAAATTGACATGAAAAAAAAGCCAGCCAGCTTTTCAGTTATTTTCTGATCTCTTTCTAGTTTTCATTTAATGGAAAACTTGTCAAGTTACAACTTTTGTATGTGACTCACTACAGAGCATTTATTTTCTACAAATGGGATTTTCTCAAGACAATAACTATCCTGACAACACTAGGCTGATTGCAAGAAATCTATTTTTACCTATTTTCATGGGTGTTGGACATGCCTGACACTACCCTATTTTGTAAATTTATTGCCTTGTTCTCAGTGATCTTTGTGATAAATGTATTGTCACAGAGCACCCTGCTGACTATCCTTTATTTCCCCTTATTTTATAAATGCCAAGTTTATTTAACTCCTACTATCACGGAAGTTTGTCAGCCAAATATAATAGTTAAGACTGTGTTCTAAACCAAGGTGTATGTCAATTTCAATAAGTCAGAAAATACAAGTTAGTTCTCAAATTGTTTAATGATCCAAAAGTATCCCAATATCTTATCCCAAAAGGAGCTAATTATTCATTTGGTACACTTTTTAAGTTGTGATAAAATACATATAATATAAAACTTACCATCTTCACCATTTTTTAGTATATGGTTCAATAACATTAAGCACATACATACTGTTGTACAACCAATCTCCAGAACCTTTTTCATCTTGCAAAACTGAAAATCCATACCCATCAGACAACTCCCCTCCCTTCCTTCCATCAGCACCCACCCTGGCAACCAGCATTCTACTCTCTATCTCTATAAACTTGACTGTCCTAGGTACCTCATAGAAGTGGAACCATACAGCATTTTTCCTTTTGCTGATTTCAGTTAGCATAGTGTTCTCATGTTGTAACATGTCAGAATTCCTTTCCTTTTCAAGGCTGAATAATATTCCATTGTTTGTATATGCCACATTTTGCTTATCCATTCATTTGTTGATGGGCACTTGGGTTGCCTCCTCTTTTTGGCTGCTGTGAATGTGGGCAGGCAAATTAAGATCTCTATGAGTCTCTGCTTTCAATTCTTGTGGATGCATACTCAGAATTGAAATTACTAGATCATATGATAATTCTGCTTAATGTTTTAAGAAATTCCCATGCCATTTTCATTTGGTGTTTTTTAATAATACAATTAGATAGTTCGAGAGGGCAAGTGATGGTGAACTCAGTAGCAAGTTCTTGGAACCATTAAGAATTCCATCATTATCGGGGCACCCAGGTGGCTCAGTCAGTTAAGTGTCTGACTTGTGATTTCAGTTCAGGTCAAAATCTCACGGTTTGTGGGTTTGAGCCCCACATCATCAGGCTCTGCTAGTGCTTGGGATTCTCTCTCCCTCTCTGTCTGTCCCTCCCCATCTGTCTGTCTGTCTGTCTCTATCTCTCTCAAAATAAATAAACTTAAAAGAAAAGAATTCTATCACTATCTCTTTAGCAAAGCAATCCTTCTCTCTGGAGCATGACCTCTTGGTGTCCCCACTGCAGGCAAGCTTTGGGCAAACAGTGCCTGCAGCTTACCCTGGGAAAAAAGAAATTCCAATTAACTACAACACTTTACAATAAGACAGTAACAGAATTCTAATATACAGTTTCTGATCGTCTTGATAGTTTTGGAAAACAATGAAAACTAGGAAATTCTGGCTAAAAGTGATAACTTGAGGTGCACCTGGGTGGCTCAGTTGGGTTAAGCTCCCAACTCTTGATTTTGGCTCAGGTCATGATCTCATGGTTGTGAGATCAAGCCCTGCATCAGGCTCTGTGCTGAGCATGGAGCCTTCTTTGGATTCTCTCTTCTTCTCTCCCTGCTCCTCCCCAACTTGTTCTTTCTT